TATTACAACTTTTGTTTACTGGAAGGCTTGCTCTCCAGTTTTGTGTTGCTAAGCGGTATCCAAGCACGTGACCACTAGCTGCAAAGGGCCTATTCTGCATATGTCAAACTGTGTTTTCTACTGAATTGTTAGAATTTTAGGTGATGAAGTTTAAGAAAATTTGTAAAAGTTATGGAAATATCCTCACCTTTTTCTTTGTCTGTTTATCGCTTGAAGACATATTTCCCGCGTCTCTTAGAGTTTTCTATAATAACAAATTCCCATTAGATTTGGGGTCAGACTAGAATTAACGACAGGAGCAAATGATTCCAAGAAGCAAGATCATAAACCATGACCATGAATAGCGAGACGTTATTGGCTTGAACATCCAGGCGTAAAGCAGTAAAATAACAAAGTGAAAATATATATAACCTCGGTTTGAGATATTTTTCCAAAGGTCGCGAGCTGGTCATTCCTTCAAAATGCTTTCTGTTCCACTGTTTTATGATCTCAATGAACTACATGGCTTCTTTCGTAGCGATTTTTACCCATGCACGTTTATTTTATTCTTATTCAGGTTAAGCTAGTTTGATACGTTGACAAGTTCTATCGAGTCTTTTATTTCAGCATTTCAGTTACAGTATTAAACCAGGCAAAGTAAAAAACAATAAAATCACAGGAACCCTAACTTCGGCTAAAAGTGTTCTACAAAATCAAAAAACAAAAAAAATCTGGAAGAAAATCAGCTTTTTATTTATTTGATCGGCCATTAAAAGTTATGCAGGTGCTTCTAATGACAGTCCTATATATATTTTTTCTTCAGAGGACTGCATTAACGACAGGAATGCCCAAGTCGGATACATTTTTCGCACAGATGCTGCAGGTGAGGCTTAGATTCATCAATAAAGTCTTCGTCATCAGAATCTTTTCTCTCTAACGGTCTCTGCTTGTAAGGATAGACCATAATATCACATGTCTTGCATTTCTGACCAGCGTTAGCCCAGCTGTTACCACTTTGCCACATACGATTACACGATGGACAGCGGAACTCTCCAAAAACTCGTCTTTTCCCTTGGTAAGGGGTCTGAAGTTAAGGATATGATAAGAAAATATAGTTAGAGAAAGACCAAGAAATCCATAAATTACCAATAAATTCTATGACCCGGAAACCAAGTTGCAAAATCAATGAATAGATCGGACTACTTTTTGCCATACTCTTAGCCTTTAAATTAGCTACTATCATCTAAGTATAATTGGTAAATCTTCACTCGATTTCTTAGAGTTTATCATTATTCGTATTTCGTTGTTGTTATTATAATTTTACCCCTTGCATGATAGCTTAGGAACTTAGATAATTGTCATGGATAAAGTTACGTAAATAAATGAATAAATAAAATAAATAAATATGTGCCAATGTTCAGTCTATTTCAAAAGAGAGGCTAAGCCCACGCATTCTGAGAAATCATCGTATTTTTAGTCTCCATCGCAGACGTTTTTTAATGTCAGTCACGCAACGTTTCTTGCATGAAAGACACTAAGAACCGCTGCATCCTGGGAGGCTAGATATTTTTTAAGATAAAGAGTAATAAATTTATTACATCCAAGCTTTATTCGTTTTCTGTAAAAATACTATATGTCTAGTATTACTCAGTTAATCGCTCAACATACGAGTCATTGACATAAGCATAGCGATAGACGTGACGTGAACAGCAAACGAGACTAAAATATTAGCCAAAAACCTGTGTACCATTTCTCTACTCATTTTTAAATGCGCTTGGAATGTCAGTTAAAATATCACTTGTTCCTTTATTAACATAAGCTATAGTATCACCTGTAAATAGCGCATTAAACAGCGATAGACGGGCGAAAACACTCCGCAGAAACCATATACTGGACAGGTATATTGATATCTTACAAGCCGGAAACAAAGTTAATACTCTCTTGTATTTTAGTATTCCAGGAACTCTTAGCAGCCATAAAACAGACTGAGGAAAGGTCTAGTTTTTCTAATTGTTTCTAGGGTGTAATCTTGAAGAAAAATATTTCAAAAACTTACCTTTTTGTCTGACATCTTTGCTCTGTGAAAATGCTGTTGTAAGATGACGCAGCCAAAATATTTCTCAGAATTTGCTACGGCAACTTTCTTTTCATTGGCTGATGTCATAGAGTAGAGTTGTCCTCATTGTAGCTTGTCACAACATTTCCAAGAAATCCGACGGAAATACGTACTAGACGTTTCTCTGCAATAACATTGGACCCTCTGTTTAAATTTTCCAGCTTAGTGAAAATATTTACCTCATTTACATGTGCAATCTCGCAAAATCGAAAGCCTTTTTATGGCTAGTGTTTTATTTTATTCATTTTAAAAAAAAAAAATTGTATTATTATATAATTATCCATAAAATACCTATATTTCTCCTTTTCGAAAAACTGATATTTTCACATGTGAAAATAACATGTTATTTTCACATGTGAAAATATCGTTACCATGTCTATTTAAGCTATTAGTTAGTTTGTTATGATAATAAAAAGCTTATTAAGTTGATTTTATGGATAATTATATAATAAACAGAATATTACATGGGCGCTTGTAGATACGAAATTTATCCGCGCGCCCATGTAATATCCTCTATTTATTCAAAGAGTAGTAGAGTAGTCCTCATTGTATCTTGTCACAACATTTCCAAGAAATCCGACGGAAATACGTACTAGATCGACGTTTCTCTGAAATAATATTCGACCCTCTATGATTAAATATTCCTTAGTGAAAATATTTACCTTAGTTTACAAGTGCAAACTCGCAAAATCGAAAGCATTATGCAATTGAGGAAATGTAAGAGAAAGCTAGGGATAGAACAGAAAAGAAATAGTTTATTTTCGTTACAATTTGCAATACTTGAGCACACCTAAAAGAGCTAAACGAAAACGACGAAACGCAATAAAAATCGAAAACGGTGCAAATCTTTTTTTTTTTTTTTTTTTTTTTTTTTTTTTTTTTTTCATTATCTTAGACTCAATTTACACACCCGCAAATACGCTAGTGACGGTAGTTCCGAAACAAGTGTACGTTCTTCCGGACTAGTGGGGTTGAATTCTATTGTCAAATAGCGTTTGGTACCGAAATTATCGTCCGGTTTCCGGAATAGAGAGGTTCCGGTTTACTGAGGTTTATTTTACAAAAGATATATGGGAAAAATTTCCGGACCAAAACTTTTGTCCGGTTTAGAGAGAATTCCGGTATACTGAGGGTCCGGTATAGAGGGGTTTCACTGTATCTTATTTATGGAATTTTGTTCTCTGAATATACATTAGGAACAGTGTATCAATGTAACTACCTAATTGCAGAGCTGTGGCCGCAATATCTGGTGAAATTAGGAGTACGCTTTGGCTACGTACGAGTGAGATACTGTCGGCGAATTCGAACGGACGACTCCGCTACCGCTATGGACGTCTGGTACAAGATGTCAAAGTACCAAAGAGCGAAAGTGCGAAGACTGCAGAATCGATTTAACAAACTGAACAAGCAAAGGAGCGAGCAATGATATCTTACTAACCTTTAAAATTCAACTCAAAATCGATCTATCTACTCTAGCATGCCTTTCAATGAGTATCATCACTATGGTTTCTAATCAATAACATCTCGACAAGAATATCCTAGTTGCATACACTTCTCGCAGAGATGCTGCAGGTGAGGTTTAGACTCGTCAATGAAATTTTCGTCATCAGATACAGAATCCGAATGAGAATCAGATTCAGAATCTCTTCTATGTAAGCGTCTCTGCTTGTAAGGATAGACCATAATATCACACATCTTGCATTTCTGACCAGCGTTAGCCCAGCTGTTACCACTTTGCCACAAACGATTACACGATGAACAGCGGAACTCTCCAAAAACTCGTCTTTTCCCTTGGTATGGGGTCTGAAGTAATGGATATGAAAAAGACAGTTAGATAGGGACCCGATAATCAAGTAATTATAATATTTAGGGGTTTTTAAACCATTGTATTTCGCTGTTGAACTTTTGTCTCTTGTGTCAGGATTGTTTAATTATTTTCTGTGAACGGCACGTGGTTTGAAATAATAAAATAACATCACGCCCAACACTCAAACAAGTTTAGCCTAGGAATAAATGGGCCCGAATGGAATTTATGCAAAGTTAAAAATAGTCGTAGCGGCACAGCGGTTTTTCCTAAGTCGGGGGGGAAGGGGGGGGGGGTGGGGGAGGAACTGGCGAGACAGCAGGAGTCACTGGCAGCTTTGGTAGTCAGTTCTGAAAGTTGTTTTGGCATCGTTTTGGCAGGCAAAACGAAGAAACATTTTTGTCCCATACTACTTTTCGGTAGGTCTTCAGGTGAGTTTTCCACTGAGTGGTCAGTGTGCACGTGACAGTACAAGGCGGCGAGCTTTCTGCCCAGTTGCCATGGTTAACTCCATAGAATGGCGTGGTCATATACAACAGGTTTTCGCCTGGTACCTAAACCCAAACTTATCTAGACGATGAGTTTTAATAGACCTCCTCGGCTCGGGCGTAATGTTTTCCCATTTCAGACCACTAGACATTCGCTAGAGTATCATTTCTTAGTTTAACGGTTGAGTTCGATTGCACACGAGAAGACATATGAATATGCATACAACTGAACTCAAGCAAAGCTTTAAGAATCTTAATCTCAAGGGAATGAAACGTGGTTCGAAAATATTACGCCCGAGCCGAGAAGGTCTATTAGTAGCCTTGTGTTCGTATACACCAAGGCTAAGGAATTATTTACATTTGCAGATGTTACTGATGACGATTTTTTGCATTATTTTGGCGTCTGACCTAAACGTGTATGATCCATGATGTTAATTTGCAAGATCTTTTTTTTTTTTTACTTTTTGTTAAGTACCCTTCAGGTAATATTTCAAAGCCGACAATGAGGACTGGACGGGATTTCAAGTCAAAGCAATTAATTCCAGTCCGAGGCGCAGCCGAACTAATTGCGCGGACTTGAAATCCCGTCCAGTCCGATATTTGAGGCTTTGAAATGACTTCTCATCTCATTAATTATTCGACTTGGAGTAACTGGAACAAAATTAATTCAGTCCTAGGACTGAATTAATTTTGTTCCAGTTACTCCAGACTGAATACATTCCTTTCACAGCACTTTACCATGTTTCAAGTAACATCATGTGACCCAAAAATAGCCCATTGATTGGCTGGTTTACTCAATATGAATTATTAATGAGTATGAGAAGCACAATTCAATGAACTGAACATGCATACATACCAGTGGGGCTTCATCTTCGGTGTCGCTCTGATCCTCATTATCAGATTCCGATTCACTTGAGCTTCCGTCGTACATGTGAGGATCAAATAAAGGACTTTGATTGTAAGGGTAAACAATTTCCTGGCATTGGAGACACTCTTGTCCAGTATTGGCATAGCTGTTTGCACTTTTCCATTCACGACCGCATCGAGGGCAGCAAAATTCTCCGAACACTGGACCTTCTCCTTGGTAAGGCGTCTAGAAATGAATCCATATATATATACTAGGGATTTTTCTTGGTATCTTTTATTTATTTTTGACGTCAAATCCTCGCACGAGTGGTTCGCTTGCCGTCAAATTTTATTGGAAAGCTATGCAATTTTAGTCTTTTTTCTTGAAATGGGATTGAAAAACAAAAATACTAAGCGTCAAATATCGCTTTTATCT